ATTTTCTTTCTTTTTGCTCTAACTTAGGTTTCACCTTTTTCATTTCTGATAACTCTTCTTTTATTACACAAAGGTTATTTTCCAGTTTTGCAACTTCTTTCTTATGTAATAAACACTGTGAACAGTTGGTTTTTTTAAGTTTTATTATTTCTTGATATGAATGACCTGCATTTTGGATTTTCATTAGGTTATGAGAATCTGCATCATGGAGAAAAAAAATAGAAACAAAATATTTGAATATTTCATATATGAAAGAGTATATATTTTTGTATGTACTCTTGCACGGTGAACAAATGTATCACATGGAACACATTATACTAAGATCTACAGATAAAACAGATGAGAATCTTGCCCTTATTTAGCCAGTGGAAAAGAATGACAAATAACATGACTGTTATAAATTCAGATAATGATGCAATGAAATAATAAATTATGTGATCACATAAGGGAATCTGATCCATAGGAGGATTTCCCTGGACATAATATGACTACACTGAGAAATAAGGAATGAACTGGAAGCATCTGGGCACAAGATGAAGAAAGCTTTATCCCCAACATACAGCAAGTACTGAGATGCTAGTGCAATCTGCTTCAAGTCAAGTGGTAATAACAGGTACAGCTTTAGGTTCCTACCTGAAACAAGTAAAACCAAAACACACAAAAAACAAAATAACTATAGTTTCAAGACTGTTGTCCTTCAGGCAATGAGGATAATAATTCCTGACATAAAGTAAATGAAGTAAGCCTTGCAATTGTGTTAACTCCTTGCTTTGAGAAATTTTCCAGTAGATGACTCAAGGAGAAGGAACCCAATTAATCTACCTAACTCCCTAAACTGAGCTAATGAAACTGAAATCCCAGATAGATCCCAAAATAACAACACTGGGGAATTTCAGCACAGCCTTGTAATCAATACATTGGTCATGCAAGGATAAAAAATAGATGTTTTAATCTAAGTAATGCTATAAATCAAGTAGACCTAATAGCTGAATTCACTTTCTTACTAGCAATTTGTGGAAACTTTTTCAAAATAAGCCACATTCTATAATGTAAGTCATAGTCAATACAAAAAAAACCAGATAATTCTATCAGATATCTGATATACTATCAGATCGTAATGGAATGAAACTAGAAATAAACTGCAGGAAAAATAACAGAAATCACATTAACAGAACAAAATTGAACAATATTCTTTTAAATAAGGAATGGATCATAGAAGAAATGAGAGAATAAAGCCAGAAATATTTGAAAACAAAAACAGAAATACAACATATCAAAATTTCTGAGACACTATAAAGTCAATTTTAAGAAGAAAATTTATAGCATTGAGTACCTTCATTTAAAAAAAATAGATTCCAAATAAATAATGTTCCGTCTTTCAAGGTCTTAGAAAAGGAAGAACAAACTAATTCCAAAGTCAGTAGGATGCAGAAAATAATTAAGATTAGAGGTGAAATTAATAAAAACCTGAGAATAAAAAGACATATGATCAATGAGACAAAGAGTCAGCTTTTTAAAAGATAAATAAGGTCAATAAAGCCTTAGCAAAACTAACAAAGACAAGAAACAAATCAACAAAATTACAGATAAAAGATATCATAATAAATATTTCTATAATCCAGAGGATCATTTGAAACTATTTTATAAGTTTGTACTCCAATAAGTTGGAAGATCTAGAAACCTTGAAAAATTTCTAGACACATATGAGCTGCCCAAATTGCACCAGGAAGATACAAGTAATGAAATTGAAACAGCAATTAATAGCCTTCCATAAAACAAAACTCCAGGACCAGATGGAATCTTATCCAGGTTTTAACAAATCTTTAGAGAAGAACAAACACCAACCTTGTCAATTTATTCCATGAAACTTAAAGGGAACGCTCCCAAATACATGCTATAGAGCAAATATAATCCTGATAACAAAATCAAACAAAGACACATCAAGAAAAGAAAATACAATCATATATTTTTAAAATATAATTTCTGATAATGCTTATCTCTTCCTTAAAACCCAAGTATCTCTTCTCTTTGCTATAATATTAAAGACCTCAAGACCTCTAGCTTTATCCTGTATCTCTCTGAGTCCCAACCACTGTCTTATATGTTTCTTCTTAGAATACAGATTTTTATTTTCGAAAGATTTAATGAGGTATTATTGACATAAGGTTGCATAAAAGAGCATAGTTTCAGGAGGTGAAATAGCAGGGAAAATAGGTCTAAGTTTACTACAAAATTCAGGTAGAGACAATGGTAACCTGACCTGATGATTCTCAAGGCACAAGAGAGGAACAGAGCCAAGAAAAGGAGTGGGAGTGACATTCACAAAGAAAAGAACAGTGGGAATAATCCAGGTGTTTACTTGAGAGTATATCACAGTTCTCATTGTATTTTAGTGCAAAGCACATTTCTGAAATGAACATCATTGTAACACATCAGTGTTCTATGGTACTGTGCTAAGCATCCTATGTGCATCTATTTCTATAATATACATCAGAAGGCCTCATCTTTATGCAAAGGTCCTACCTTCATATGGCTTGTTTAATTGTTCAATTACCACCAAAATATTCTCATAATCAGGGTAAGCCACCTCAGAAGCCTGTGCGGCTATTACAGCTGACTGTGATTCACCAACATCCTCCATAGCGTTTATTTGTTTTCTGACCTATCAAACAATAATCCAATATCAAAATGTACCGAATATACTAAATACATAGAGGTAGTAATTACTCATCTTTGATATAAGCAAAAGCACAGGTTGGTTTTCAAAGAACTGATTTCTGTCAAAAGGAAACCTTTATCAATGGTTATTCTTTCTTAGTCATTTTCAAAGTAAACCTTATATATGACAAGAAATTCTCAATTCTTTCACCTTATCTTTTACAATATATTTTTAATTCATATTTTCTGTACTGTATCATTTTGCCTTTCATAATATACTTTATCAATAAAATATTATTTTATATTATTTCTAACAATACCTTGCCCTTTTCATTACATGTTTTCTCTGAGGGCTTATAAAAGAAAACAAAGAAAGTTTTTTTATAAAAATAAAATGCATTAAGACTATTATCTTTTATATATAAATTACCTATATTTTTAACTTATTTCTTATGCGCATAAATTTTATAATAATTTCCCACAAGGAAGCTTCAAGTGTAAACTGAAAGAATAGCATTAAGGAATCAAGAATGTTACTACTAATAGAATCAAAACAAAGAATAAAATTTAAATACACCAAAAACATGGCTTTTTTTCTTCTTTAACTCCTTAGTTCCACATTCTTCTTTAGTCATTGTTCACTTTTCCATTGCCTTTCCCTGGAGAAATTCTGCAAGGAGTTTCCTACAATTTTCCATTGAAGTCAGGCAATGGAAAATTTTCATGAAGACAAGGTACTTACTCCTTGTCCAAGTCACCTGGCTTCATCTTTGTCAACCTGTCAGCAGCATGAGTTTTCCCTTCCTCTGACCTGAACTACATCATTCTGTCTTATTTTCACAAAAAGTATATAGACTGCCAATTCTGGCACAGAGCGTGATGTAAGGTACTCAGTGAGATCTGCTTCCCCGGGCCCTCTGGGGCTGGGCCAGCGAGTAGGGTGGGGTCCCTTTTGACTAGCCGCAGTCCACCAGAAGCACTGAGGACCTGGCACCTTTGAGCAGTGCAGGACTGGCGAGGGGAGGGGAGGCAAGCGAGACTGGCGGCCTCCTGAATGCCACAGAGGCCGGTAGGGGCTTCAAGGGCCCAAGAAGGTGAGTGGAGGCTCCAAAGCTTGGCCACTACACAGTGGAGCCTGGCAGACTAGGACTCTCCATGACCGCGTGGTGCGGCTCCAGGAGATCTCACGTTGACCTGACAAGGCAGACAAAGGCCTTAACCGTCCTGGAAGAGGAGCAAAGCAAAGAGGAGGACGGGTGGAACCGGTGGAACGGTTAGACCTGGGCGGTTGGTGTTCCTTGTACCAGAGGGAAACGGTCGGGTAGCATCTACATTATAACCCCTACCCTATCTGACCAGTCGGAAACCCCACCACCCTTTGGGAAGGTTTACCTGCACTTCGTGGAAGGCCTGTGTATATAATGGGAAAATGCTGCTTTCAACTCTCCCCCGCCAAACCATTTAAAACTTTTGCTCCATCTAAACATTATTAATGTAAAGAGGTTGCCCATGTATGACAGAGAAGATAACGTCTTGTTAAATAACGTCTTTTAAAAAAAAAAAAAAAAACAGAAATGTCTTCTGGAAGTGACTTTGAAATAGATTTGATAGATCACCTCTAGGAGTGACACTTGTCCATGCTTGATCAGTAGGTTAGAGGACATGGAGAAGACTTTTGACAGAAGAAGGAGGTCCTATGCCAGACTGGTTATATATAAAAGACATTTTTCATCTTGTAACCATTGTTTTTTTTGTGTGTGTCCGTTTTATTCTTCATTACTGTATACGTAGTTGAAAATGCTAAATACTTTCTTTTGAAATATCTAGACTTTTTAGATATTCTAAAGTGACTGATATATGCTAAAAGTAGAAGTGGTGAAATATAACACATTTTTGTAAATTTCTTTGTGAAAATTTTTATGAAATGTCTCGGAGTTATAATAGCCAAATCCCCTATTGAGTAGTATACATTGTGTGCTGGTTCTCTGGAGCATACCATGCCAGTATGCTTAAATGAGGCAAGAGAAACCATTATCCCTCATATTTATGGGTTTTGTTTTACTTTGCTGTATACATAGTGTATATAAAGGACAAATGTGTCCTAATCTATATATAGTCTTTCTAGATGTTAATGAGGTCACCAGTATATGACAAAAGGAGAATTAGTAAACAAATTCTGTATGTTTTGTGTTTCAATTCTAGAAAGTATTGTTTTCTGAAAATTTGAGCATTAAAGCCCACAGGGTCAGCAAAGGACCAGAATGCTCACATTTTGAAAACATTTCCAAATTAGAACTATTGTTACATGTGTGCACTTTATTCAAGCTTGTCATGTACATTAGTGGACAAATTGAGTCCTTATTTGAAATATCGAGTGTGTATATTTTTAGAGGTAGTAAAATATCCCTTTGTAAATATCTTTCTGCTAAAAAATATGAAATACTGTCTTTTGGGAATGAAACTGTTAAACCACCTCTATGAGAGTACTTGTTCAATGATGTGGAGGAGGTAGGAGGGAAGCAATTGTAAAAGGTAATATGTTGATGTGTTCAAATTTGGACATTTTCAGACATCAGTTTTCTGTATGTCTTGTACATTTTATTTTGCTGTGCATATAGTGTATATAATGGACAAATAAGTCCTAATTTTACAACATCTAGTCTAGATTTAAAGAGGTTACCAGTATGTGACCAAGTAGTTAGTAAAATTAGCGCATTTCTACATTTCATATTGAAATTCATAAAAAAGCTTGCCTTCATACATGACTTTTTGATTTTAATTTGTTCAACCATATCTATTACTTATATGCCTATTCTTGTCCACTGGACTGAAAGTAGAGAGAAGTGAGTAGAAAAAGGTTTGAGGAAAAAAATGGTCATATTATTATACTTTCGTTTATAATCACTGCTACATGTGCAATTTTATTTACCAGTACTGTCTAAAGAGTGGACAGGTTCTTTGTGGCATATCTAGTCCTTCTATATATTTAGAAGTGCTTGATGTATTTGAAAGTAGAAGTAGTAGAGTAAAACTTTTTGTAAATAGTTCTTCTGATGGGAAATATTGTGTTTGGAATTGTTAAACTACCTGTGAACAGAATACTGTTTATACTTGTTCACTGGGTTGAGGAGGTGGAAGGGAAGAAATTGAAAAAGGTGTTTTGTTTAGAGTGTGCTAGAAAATTTCATTGCCCTGTATTATGCATTTAGTTTAACTTTGCTGTACTGTATATATTCTGTATATACTGAATAAAGGAGTCCTGATTTTATAATATCCAGTCTCTAGATATTAAAGTGGTCGCCAATATAAAAAAAAAAAGTATTGACTGCTAATACCCCTTCAAAGGGAAATGAAGGATGGATTTTTTTTCTTCCTTATTCCTGATTTATTTCACCTAAGCTGCAACCATCCTTCATTTGCAGAAGACTACCAGTAAATGAGTCAGCCAACCCTAAAGATGGTGTAATTGCATACTCTTTGGAGATCCATTTTTCAACTTTGTCTTTCTTTACTTTCTTCATGGGCAAGGCAGGACCACTAGTTTTAAAAAAAGCCACAAAAAAAGCCAACAATTTCCAATAATTCTACTGACAGAATAAAAGGCAACTTTGGTAAAACTCCAATTTTTTCCCATCTTAATTCATTTACTAATTTTAAAAATCTATGAAGTGGAAGCTAAATATAAGAAAATGTACATTTTCTGTTTTGTTTTGAAAAATAGATGTATAATTATGATATAAGAGTTAGTACAGGGCTGGGGATGTGGCTCAGGCGGTAGCGCGCTCATCTGGCATGCGTGCGGCCCGGGTTCGATCCTCAGCACCACATACCAACAAAGATGTTGTGTCTGCCGAGAACTAAAAAATAAAATATTTTAAAAAAATCTCTCTCTTTCTCTCTCTCTCTCCTCTCTCACTCTCTCTTTAAAAAAAAAAAAGAGTTAGTACACAAAACGTTAGATCTGAGCCCAAGAAAGACTTTATGGTATGGGTAAAATATAAGAGATTCTACCAGGCAAGAAAATCATTTTATGTAGAGAATAACACAAAGATTGAGTATATATGGCATCTAGGCGCTTTCTAGAAAATTCAAAGGAGAGTGTAAAATATGTAGCAGCAAGTAATAATAGATGATTGCTTACAAAGCTTGGATGCTGTACGAGAGACTAGAGCTCCTTACCCACAAGCAGTGGTGCTTAGGAAAATAACAATTCATGTATGCTACATTTGCTTGGTTTTGTTTTTAAATATAATATTAAGCAATTTAGATAGTTTTTAAACACACAATCATACAAGATGAAAGAAAACATCATTGCGGTGATAAAAACCTCTCTTGAAATACTCGAATGCTATTATACAGACTTCAGAATAGTAACATTCTGACTACTTATGAATTTGTTTCAAAATGAATTTGTAAATTTTCAAGCTTTATCCTGGTATGTAATTCTAATATAAAAAAGCTGAATTTAACTACAGACCATTGTAATTATATTTATATGAGAAAACATAGAGAATAATCACAAGACATCACCATTACCATTACCCATCTACAAAAATTTATAAAGAAAATGAAATTTACCCCTTGAGATTATTAGAAGTTGGGCCTGAGCCCATAAAATAAATCAAAATTAATATTTACCAAAAAATTAATGTCCATAACTCTTCTTGTTTGGACTAAGCATTCTAACTATCTAAACTTTTTTTAAACAGATATTTTTGAACAATTATTAAGTAATACCTCTTGTGTCAAAGTTAAAATGTAAGTCTATATTCTGGGATATTAAATCGTTTTTATTTTTGAAGTTGATGGAAAGCATCTTTTAAACAGTAAACATCCTTGAGAAAGGATTGATCTTCAATCACAGTAATAAGTAGCATCTAAACACTATGAAAACTATTAAATCAATAAATGTCCATTGGCTTCAAATACCAACCAGTCTGTGTGAGTTGGCTGTTTCCTAAAAGGCAGCCAAACAGAGATAGACTCATTTCAATGAGCATGCTCTAAAATGCCAAGCAATCAAAAACTGTATGACTTGAGTAAACATGCTGCTACGGGGTAAACTTACTTACCTTCTGACAGTTGGATGATCCCTAAACTTCACTGTTTGCAAAACCCTATAAAAAATAATCAGATTACTGTGTTAGAAGGGACTGAACCTGACACTTACCAAAGAAAGTAATAAATTTAAATTTTTATTTCAGTTACTGAAGATTCTTAATCCTCTTGATAATTACTTTTTAAGCTTCATGAAATTTACTACCTTCATTTTAATTTTCTTAATAAGATATAAATAAAGTTTGCAGTGATTTAATCCATTGTAATACAGCTAAAAGAACATAATTATTAGTAAATATTAATATAATGAGTAATAATGATATTGGACTTTTGTGACTCAATGGAACAACATCAATGTAGAGAGCATAGCTTATAAAAATAAAAGAGCACAAAGAATCAAAAACCTGCATATTTTATTACTAGGTAAGGTTGTCAAAATAGACATATCTATCTTTTCCTAAGTGAGAATTAGTCTAATTTTTCAGACCCCACACCAAGAGCAAACTCCACTCACAAATGTAATAAATATAGTTCCACAGTTACTCTATGCAAGGCAGTCACTTATAGGCACTGAGGACATAGGAGTAAACAGACAAAAATCTCAGTTATGAGAGTGAAGTAGGCTCACAACAACAATAAACACGTTAGACAGCCAAAATGTAAAGTGTGGCAGGGAATGAAGACAAAAGCAGGAAAATAAAAATGTCTACGCATCGTATGGGAGAAGTGGGTACACATGTGAGTCAGGATGGCCAAGAGAGTGGCATATCTTGCTAAGAGAGTTGCTTTAAAGAAAAAAAAAGTGAAAGAAGGAGAAAGCTAAGAAGTGGATAGAAATGTTTCAAGTACAGAGGTATGCCTGCAGAGTATAAAGAAGAGTGAGAAGATCAGTAGGACTAGAAGAGTGAAAATACAAACTAAAGTCAGATTTGTGACAGGAGACAGATGGTATATTATCTGGTACATATTAGGAAGAGTTTTTACATGGACTCAGGGAAATGGGAGGCCACTAGAGCAGTGTGAGCATATATAACATATCTATAATAAAATCCGAGTTGGTCTAATTGGTCCATTATGATAAGAATGGATGGAAAGAGGATTTAAAAAGAGACTAGGAGACCAACTTGCCTACTATTTACACTTATCTAAACAGGAGATGCTGGTAGGTTGGGAGTGGAAGATGTGGCTAACTTAGACGACAGACT